CACCAAAGTATCGATACTTACTCATATCGATACTTTTTGGAAGATAACTATAAAATATGTCCATATTTTAGATTTTGCCGGCACCATAATAACAAAAAAAGTAATAAACTTTTAACACACGCACTGCACAATTAAACAAATAAACGTTCTTTTATTTATTTTTTTAAGTATTAAGTATAGCTAATCCGATACAATCGATAATTCCGCTAATCGATCGAGATTTTGATAATCGATTATAGCTGCGAATTTGTCGTAATAATGCCTAAACTAAACATTAATTTATATAAAAACTGTAATACAAAAACCCACAAAACTACTTATGAACCAGACATTTCTCTGTGTGAACTTCTCTCATTCTCTGAGATGTATATAGTACCATTCATCCAAAAATGATCCAAAGGGACCATAGATAGACATACATTTTTTTTACTCTGGGACTTTGTGGTTTTCATTTGATTGCTGTAAAACCCGTGCCCATCTGTGGAATGTAAAAAGAAGGAGGTTCTCATTTCGACTGTATGTTTCTTTTTGTATGTATGTTACGCGATAACTCCGGTATTTGTGAACCGACTTTCATGATTCTTTTTTGTTGGAAAGGAACTTCCATAGTGGTCCCATTTCATTTTGAAGGAAATCATCCACCTCTAAGGGTGACTGTTCACGCATGAAGATTCATTTTTATAAATAGCGCCTAAATTAATTAATCTTAAGGAGCAATTATTTTAATGGTTGATTTTGCTATTTCTCCAATTTAAGGCGTTTTTCTCTCTATATTCTTTGAGTAGTGAGAACCGATTTTTATTATCTCCAGTGTCAAGTCCTGTGGCGAATTTAAGGATATTTCAATAAAACTTAGTAAATAGACGTAATTCCACGTACTTTTGAGGTCGATTTTTTTAGTATTCTGTACTGATATTATCGTGTCTAAAGTCGCATATATTTGCTTTTTCAAACAAACCAAAGTTTCGGGTCCTTTACAGGTCCCATAGTATGGATTGAGTTTACGCTACATACGTTTTACAAAATTTAAAACCGTAAATTGGAATGTTTTTGATATATTAAAAATAGCTTATTTTTAACATATATCGAGGAAGGAAACTCCTGATAAATTTTCAAGTAAGATTTATTGCAGGAACGAGTGTCAGAATACAATAAGAGCCCAATTAAACAACGCGAAGGTGACCGCCCACAGTTGCCATGCTTTCACGTACATTACTGGCGAATCTGAATTCTATTTACTAGACGACAACATTTAAATTCCTAGAACAATACAACCGCGCGGTCGCTGCGTGGAAGCCGCGCGAAAACATTCGCTTCGTTTAAGCGTTGCGTAGACCAAAGACAAGCCTGACTCGCTCGCGCGCCCGAGACGCTCATTTAATTTGAAACGTAAAGACTAAATAAATAGAGCGTATTTTGCCATGAAATTCGTGTCGAATAAACGCGCTCTAGTTACCTTAGATGTACCTGGATTAGTGTTGCCCAAATGCAAGACCAAGACGAGACTCACCAATCTTGGTCTTGCGTCAATACCTGGACTTGGTATTGCAGACTCAGTTTTGGTCTTGCTGCAAGAGTCTCGCAAGTCTTGCGATATACCTATATTAATATTGCTACATAATAAATAATAATATGTAAAAATACCATTGTCGGTTATCGTAAACCGCAGGTTATCATAATATTTGATGATGATTGGTATGGTAAAAAGTGTTACGATTAACAACGCTTATTTTAATTTAAAAATAATTTAAAAATATACAGACTGTATATTTGAAAGTGGGACATACTTATAGAGTGCGTTATATTTCTGATTCTGAACCTAAAGAAATAATAAACTAATGAACTTAAACTTTACAAAAAATATTTTTTTAATTTTTTTATCGACTACTACTTGAGAACAATATTAGTTATCGAAATCTATGCACATCACTATTATTGTTCCGAAGCAGCGGCGGGTGGCGGCACAGCGGCGAAAAACAAAGCACATGTCGGGGGTGGGGGCGCGGGCGCATACGCGAAATTGCTGTTTGCAACTTTAGACAGTGAACGCGCGACCTTGATCTTACGAAAACACGTTAATTATTTGTACTTCCGCTCCCCCGATTGTCGCAAAATGGTTATTTATTCTAACGTCGAATTGAATGAGATGGTGCGACTTTACGCAATAAGTGGTGATAGTGTGAGGCAAGCTATTGAAATGTTCCCAAATCGGAGTTTACACGGAGGAGGTGAACAGTGTCGAAATGTTGCGTGAGAGGATTATCTCAGCATTTTATACTATGAGACAAAATGTGTTTGTGTTGAACAATTAAAAACAAAATTTACTATGCCGTGTTACGGTGGACATTTTGAACACTTGCTCCGTACCACGTAAGTGTAAATAAACTGTAAATAACTAAAAAATCAATCATTGTAAACAATTTGATTTCACATTTTTAACTACGCCAAAAACCTCAATTCTTATTAAATGATAACTAGTTACTAAATCATAAACTTATCTTTTTCTAAAAAATAATTAACATAAGCTAAAACATAAATGTGAAATCATTGTTATTGTTGCTGTCTCACTCGGCGCTCGCTCGTTTGGTAGTATTCCCATGGCACTCGAAATCAAGCGTAAAGGGAATCGGATTATTCCTATGTACACTTCAAAACACATTTGTTGATTTATTTTTTATTCTATCCCATATCCTTATTTTATTTTAGTGTATGATAAGTTGTAACATGATTTACTATGACATGTATGAACATGACTCACTTTCAAATATACAGCCTGTATATGAATGAAGCGTAGAACAACGACAGCCATCTTGCATTTTCGTGTCGTATTCTCCATACTTCCCGAATACTCGTTGAGTTCAATATCAATTGAATAAATTTAACATTTTTCGATAGATTGACCTGTCGTTGATAAATATAAAAAAAAACAACAAAAACTCGACAGCTAATCGTACCACGAGATGGTAGCAGTTTACTGTGCAACTCCTATGAAGAACATTGGCATATCACACTAGAATCGGATTCCGACATCATGACTAATTACGTTAACACTTGGATAGCGTGTTTCGGGATACAAGTAGTTCCATCTATTGGTGACTCTCGGTACTAAATTGTAGTAGTACCAATATTTAAATTAATTACGGTGAAAAATAGAGTGGTTTGCATTAATATTAGACATTTATAGCTTTTTATTCGAATTATGACTTTACCATCTCAGTCAGCCGTGACCGTGGAACCTGAATATGACACGAAATGTATGTTTCTTTGAAAAAACAAATAGACTGCTAACAGATTGACTGCATATTTGCAGCTAATGCATGAAGTCGTAATTAACCTCATGCAACTGATACCACGACTGCATGAAGTTGATAATGACTTTACGCATTAATTGCTTGCAGTCGATCTCAGCTCCGTGAAGTCGGTTTCGGTTATACGGGAGTTACATTTGGAAACATATTATTTTTAATAAATTATATAATTACATATAATTGCGGGTAAAGAAAAAGGTAGTTTTTTATTTATTTTATATTTTTGACGTGTAAATGTTTACTAAGCAACGTCAGATTGTAATTACTTTACGTGGTAATTGTATATATTTAGAAGAAAAGTTATTTTATGCCTTTTTTTATTAATTGTCCGGCAATTTCGAGATGTATTATTCATTATATGTTTATTACTTGAGATTTACTGATGCCATTACGACCTCCGTTTATGGTAGAAGCAGTGGTATCATTGAATTTATAAATCAGCTATGACAATAATAATGTATTATGTTATTGTGATAATAATTTTTGATTTCCTTTAAAGATAACATAACATTTTGATAAAAAATGTACACAGTATAATAGATTTTAACACCTTCCCGAAACTATATTGGAGAATCATATACAGCTATTGAGAAACCTATGCCGATGCATTGTTCTTTTTTGTTTTGAGAAATGTTGGATTGATCAGAAGTATAAATTAAAACATTAATAAAAATCACACTTCGAAAAAAGCAAAGACGCCTACAGCCATGTTGGATTGTAAAAAATATGGTAAATTTTTATACAGAAAAATTTCGAAGTCAGGCTAGCCAATCAGCAGTTGTTACCGCAATGATATTAGCAGAATAGTTTTCAAACAAATAAATGATATTTCGTTGCTATTTCTGGTTGTATACTCGATGGGTACGACCAACAAAGGGCGGCATTGATGAGACATCTGCAGTTTCGCCGAACATCCGCAGGTGCTATAAATTATATGCTAGGCATCCACAATAAACAGGCAAAAAAGACTGATACTATTTGTTGAATGTTGCGGCGGCGCGGCTCTCCAGCAGCGCCGCCGGAACATGTAAGATTATAGTTTAAGATACGATAGTACCGACATGTACATTGTACAAATGTCCATAAATAAAGATTTAAAAAAAAATTAAAGCTTTCCCGCGTACTCCTATAAAGCGCGCTAAAATATTGTTTTTTTTTTAAATTTATTAAGTAATATTTTTATATATAGTTAATATTTATATATAGTTTAATAATGTTTATGTAAATATGGCCGTCACGCCTCTAGGCAATTGAGGCGGCGTGCTTGGATTGACTCGGGATTCCTTAAAACTGGCCGATACGGGTATTTTACTTCGAGATTCGTATAATTTCGCGTTTTAATCTTCGACTAAGGCACAATAGCACTATCCCATTCCACTTTAAACTAGATTTCACAAAATAATTGAAAATCCTATTGTTTTATTTAAAAGACAAACGTTTTATAATTTTTTACGAATTGTTTTTTCCGTTCTTAAACTGGAAAAGACAAAGGCACTTGCGTCATACAGCCTAGACTAAGAGTAATTTCTATAAGTTTCGTTACGAGTTTTTTGTTTAAAATTGACTTTTTTTTGCGGATTTTTTTGGATTTTCGAAATTTTTGGATTATTTGGGTAACCCGTTATATTTTGGTTTTTAATGCAGCTGTGAGAGAGATGATGTTTTAATTTATTTTTTTTGCATTATTCGCAGAAAAAAGAGGAGAAATGGTACCTGACTCTGGCGCAAGTGGCTGTGCCGTTTTTCATCGCTGGCTGCGGCACCATAGGCGCTGGACTTGTTCTAGGGAAAGTCAGAGTGAGTGAGCTTAGCTAGTACCCTTATACATATTATAAGTATTATAAGTATAAAAGTCATAAAGTTAATACGAAGTACATAAATATTATTGTAAAAGTTTTTATAAGTCTCCTACTTAAGACTCTAAGACTAAAAATTTTCACGATGGAAAAAAACATAAACTTACCTCGAAATTTTACTAGAAAACCGCTATTTCAATAGGTACTTTACATACTAATTACTTTATTCATATCATTTGAACTAAATAGAACACGTATACCATACAATATACATTTTTTTCATGTGGCTTTAATTTCGTTTGTAAGAAAATAAATTCTGCAACAAAGCCCTGCCGCTCGTTCCAAAAAAATGAACCGTGTTAGTATGGGAAAAATTTGAATTCAAGCTGAGGCAGTATAGTATAAAAAGCCATCGGCCTATGCCACTAGTCCCTACCAGCTGTCTCCCATGGTGGGGACAAGTGGATGTTTTTTCTCGACTAATTTCGTTCGTAGAATCTTTAAGCCTCCTTCCTGAAAAGTTGTTATTTTGCAGATGTTGCCTATAAATATCAAGGTTGCGATTCATTGATTATCAAAACCTCATAGCGGGCTTTACACTTTCACTTGCGTTTTTCGCTTTCTTGCGTTGGCTGGGTACACGGCGTGGAAATCTGCCTTCTGCGCAAAGGCGTTCACCAGTCTTCTTCTTTGCGTTGTGGAGTGATTTGCGCGCATGCGCAATTCAATTGACGGGTGAACGGACCACCGTATGGAACAGATGGCGCTTAATTCGTCTCTGTTTCTGGTTATATGCTCGATGGGTACGTTGTATGTATGCTGCACATTCTAGCAAGTGACGTTTAAAAGTCGAGACTTACAAATATAAACATTGTTAGAAACAACGAAATGTTTTGTATATGTTAAAAAAATCGGCCGTCACTATGGAACCTGGGGGCCTACCACAACCTCTTAATACAATATTACTTTAACCTTACATTGACTTTTCGTACCATGACGCGCTTAAAGTGAGTTTTCTTATAATGATAAATAAAACTATGATGTTTTATTGGCAGCTATGTGACTAGTTATTCACTCAGTTCGTACTATGACGCGACTTTGACATTAAAGTAATATTATTCTTCTGTCAAATTTAGCAATCTTAAAATAGTTACCAAAGTGGTAATAGTGTCTAAATATTGAATTGTAATGATTAAAAGTTAAGTTGAACTTATTTATTTACATATATCTCTTCAATATTTTGCTTATTTTTTTATTTAATAGTACATAGGAAATAATTTCTCGTTAAATAAAAATAAAGTAAAATTCGACATCTATATGCTCTTTGGCCACACTAACAGTTGACACTAGACTATATTTTCTTTTATTTTTTATCTATCCTCTAAGATAATTCCGATTCGCTCTGGACCTTTTGGAGGGAAAAGTGTCGTTTTTATTTTGACATTCAATTATTTTGTGAAATCTAGTTTAAAACGGAATAGGATAGTGCTATTGTGCCTTAATCGAATATAAAAACGCGAAATTATACGAATCTCGAACTAAAATACCCGTTTTAAGGAATCCCGAGTCAATCCAAGCACGCCCGCCGCCTCAAATTGCCTATCCTCTTTGTGGCGGCCATATTTACAGAAACATAATTAAACTTCATGTTTAGGCTGATGGCTTTGCCAAAGCCTTAATAAATTTAAAGAAATCTAAGATAATTCCGAATTCACAACGTGAAAATCAAGACTCACCTTGTTTTATTTCTTTTTCTTCATGAATATGCAGAAAAATAATTGATAACAACGTAATTTTAATAGATTTCATTATTACCATACTTTCCTTTTTTTAGCAGTTGTTCCGAATTTTCGGAACATCAAAAAAGAAAGAGATGGCATTATACAGTTAATACAGCGTTATTTCTTTCCTATTTTTAGTAAGGAATAGACAATATTGGGAAATCGTTCACTCTTTAAGTCACTTTGGCAATAATACATTAGTTGGTGGTGGTTGGATAGGTTTGTCATGGTACGAATATGAGTAATATTATAATAAGCTTACTATAAGCTTACATTGAAATAAGATTGTTTTTTGAAAGGTTATGGTAGGCCCCCTGTACAATAATACATACGTACATCATCATCATCACGCCTCGCGTGGTAAGACGTATACAAAAACGAAGTATGAGTTTCGATTGTACTAATATATTGAAATGCGTTTTTCAGGACTGGGATGTCTTTGTGAACGTGTCAGCAATTTTCGTGTTAGTACCATCTCTCTCTGGACTTAAAGGTGAGTGTCTTATTTCTTTTGATCTATACGTATAAAGCAAAGATCATATACGAGGTCTTTATTTGGATTGGACATATATTTTTTATTATTATTGATACAAAGGTAGAATAAACCCAAAAAAAGACTTAATCGAGTCAGCAGATCTTAGTAATTTCTCCATGAGTTTGCTACAAATCTTTTATTGAGTTTAAATGGCTTTTTCCGTGCCGCTACTAGTGAGAGACATGAAAAATTTCTTCACTCAGCTAGGTACCTGTATAGCTACCGCCATCTAGTTGATTTGTTTGTTATCACTAGAAATTAGAGAAGCTTTGATAAATTGGAGCTTTTAGTAGCTACAGTAGAGCTCCTTGTGAAAGAGCTCGTCCAGGGAAGTACTCTAGTACTCTAGTATCTTAAGTATCTTACCTATTTCTGCAGCCAAGCAATCATTTTAACATTACTGCGTTCCGGTTTTGAAGTGTAAGGGTGCTGGTGAAATTACAGGCACATGGGACTTTTCGAGTTATGTCTCAGAGTGATGGGCGCAGAGGCAGTACACCTCAGATCTTTGCGATTTAAAGCTCTGAGTGGCACCGCAACTGTCGAATGCGCCTACTCATAAGGATAGGCGTGTCAGGCGCACGACTTGTTCATCCCATCTCTTAGTATCATAAACAAAAGCTTGTCAATGTAAAACAAATTACTTACAAAAATAGCTATTTGGTAGTCGTCACGACATCTGGTACAAATAGGTAATATATACCCGACTACGCTCTCTCGTATCGCGGTGAGCAATCCTCTTGAGTTGTTTGTCCATGGTATTTACTATAGATATTATATCTATGGTATTTACTAACAATTAACCCAAGACATCTTAATAAAAGATTTATTATTATTATTCCCAGAGTACGAATTGTTTTGAAATAAAAACCAGCCCATTGAACGTAGAAGCGACAAATATGACGAGATATTTAATGTCCTTCCACCAACTGACATTATACTCCGTGCAACCGTTTATTTAACTTTTGACATATGCATGCCTCGGAAGTTCCGAAATTCGACATACAACCATAGAGAAAAATGCAATACTTAATGGACTCTTTTATTTTTAATTTTAGTGAAGTGACGTGCTCTTTAGCTACGATGTTTATCAAGTCAACAGATTATGTAACGAAGATCATTCAAGTTGACAAATTTTGGTACTTGTCTAATAAATTATAATGAAATAAAATTAATTATAAATAATTATAATAAATGTTTATTGTTTATTGTAATGTATCGTTGGATTTTTCTCCATATGGACGGGAATTATGATTTGAATACTCATTAACATTAATTATTAATTCTTGAGTACATACATTGTTAAACGAAACATCACCATCCCAATCAGACAATATCTTCTTTTTTGAACCCGCTTACATTCACGATTTAAACTTCTTCATAAATAAAATCGATTGTTATGGATTAGAATTCGAGCTGTCAAAATTTAAATAATGATTGGACGGAGTATAATATACCAGATATCAGTTCACATCCCAAAAATATTTTGTACGAAATAAAGTTACAAATATATATAAAATAGAATAGTAAAGGATATTGAAAAACGGGCATAAAATTTTTTTATCAGATATTACAAAATGACCATTGTTGTTTTCCATGTAAAAAAAACAATTTCCTCTCAACAATGATTTGAGTTATCTATGGAATATAGCCATCGCATATATTAATGCTATAGTTCTGTTGCAAAAGGCCAGAAAAGTTTACCTACTCTTGCGCATCTGTATGCGCTAAAGCTGACATAGGAGATCGTTACACCATCTCGGAAGTCGACAAACGTTTTCTGTAAAACTAATTCAACATTGCTTTGAATATATGTACAGTGTGGAAATTTGAGACGGGACCACAAGGAGCTAGCTACCTTGATCATCATAGTTAGGAAAACGGTCATAGAAGACTGTCCATAAATTTATATTTCACAGAGATCTTTTGGAATTCATAGATTTAGACTTTGAAAAAAGGTGTCGGAAAACTTTTGCAACTTTTGCAACAACTTTGATTTTTCTTGTTTTATTTCCTCAGTTGGTCCCGAGACTAAAAAGAAATAAAATATACCAGAAATAAAATCGAATGGCATAAAAAACAGTTTCGTGAAAATTTCCTTTTATCTAATCAAAATATCTTCAAAACTATGACGGTTAAAAGAGCTGTTGACAGTTCAAATGTTATTCATTTTGTACGAAAAAATCTTTTCACTAAATTTAATCAACTTCTGTTGTCCTGATTTTTTTACATACAATAAAATGATCCTTACATAAAACTAAGTCTATCAGCATTGAAAAAAAATTGTAAATTTTATTGACTTTGTATGAAAAACACTTGATTAAATTTGACCAATTTTGCTGTCCCGATTTTTTCGTCCCATACAATGAAATGGACCATAAATGAAACTGAGTCGATCAGCACTAAAATAAATTTTGATCAATTTTATTTATTTTTATGGACAACTCAACACACGCTTGATAAAAAAAAATTACTGTGCCAAAATTGTTTTCGCAAGAAACTACTTAATGGTTTCTAAGACAGTTTCCTTGGTATGGTTACGTATCTGTATAAATATCTACAAATGCGTATGTTCCGGATACAGAACCGGGTACTAACAGCAGTAGAGCTCCAGTTCGTCCAGGAAAGTACTGTCACCTTACCTGTTTCTGCCGCCAAGCAGTAATGTCAGCATTGCTGTGTTCCGGTTTAGAAGGGTAATAAGGGTGCTGGTGAATAACAGGCACATGGGACTTGTCAACTTATGTCTCTGGGTGTCGGGCGCAGTGGCAATGCCCTTCAGGTCTTTGCGATTTAAACCCCTGAGTGGCACTGCAACTGTTATGGACAGGCGTGTAGCTAACTATTAAGCAGACGACTAGTTCGTCCCGTCAATTGATATAATAAAAAAACAACCTAGGGATATACCCGGTACATAAAAGTGCTCTTGACAGTGGACGCCCACATTGTTCAAGAATTTGTCATAAATGAAAAAATAATACGGTATATTGCTATTATGCAGTCAATAGCGCACTCAGTATAACATTGATTTTGAAATTTTAATCGTGCTTTATCACAAGTGGCATTGAGTTGAATTTGTCTAGTGAAATGTCTATTTATTTAATATTATCGATTCACATGTTTGTAATGAATGACAAAATAAGTCCTGATTAATGAAGTATATGACAATAGATAAAATCAAATTCATTATTTGGGACATTCGTTTATTGATACTCCACTAGTTTTTTTTATTCATACAAAGATCGAACAACACATAGAAAAACTCTTCGAAATTACTGCACTCGAATGAGCGTCTTTTGCCACGCTTGAGCCACCGCTCTTACCAATCGAACCACAGACCGAATAAATAGATAGATAGCTAGACAAAACGTTTGTTTGGGTCTACAGAGACATACTTAACAGAAAAATATGTAATATAATGAAAAAAGAAAAAGTCAAAGTCAAATCATTAATTCTACAGGTAAAATTTTTACTCTTGAAAATATCATTTTTTAAACTACTGCTCGATCGGCTATAAAAAAATCAACAAATCATTAAGAATAAATCTTTCTTGGTACTTAGAATATTTTGTCATCATAAGTAGGATTACATTCTGATCCAGAACTTTGTGATATAGTATTTAATATTTATCAATACAATTTGATTGTTATCTGTTTGATTGTACGGATAATAAATAAATAAATATACAATGCTAATGAAACAAATTAATATTGAATTGGTTCAATTCCCGATGTAATGTTGCCTCGTATATAAAGGCCCATTTAGATGGAGAGAGTTTATCGTCTCGAAGATACGATTATCGAAAGAATATAAAAAACTTTCCTCGTCTAAACATTTGCGATTATCGACCGTCCACGTGAGCGATAATCGCCTCGCCTTTCAATGTTGAACGTCTCCGTGTAAACAGAACTCGAAAGAAAAAATCGTATTTCGAGTGTTTTGATTATCACTGCTTTTCTAAGACAAGAATTAATGAAACGAGAACGAAAAAAAAATTCCAAATTTCAATGATTTTTGCGTCATTTCGATATGTCCATAGTGTGCACCTAAAACAGCGCTACTCCCTCTGGAAAGAGCCCAAAGAGCCATATTGAAGATAAGCACTTTTCGTCCTTATCTCTTCCCAACAACTTTATTGTATGAATCTTGTAACGTACTAACTGTAAGACAACTTTTTATTTTATCCACATTACTCAAAAAGCATAAAGAAATTAAATTTGACGTTAACATCTTACATAAAAGGCGATTTGACATAGTTTGTAGCCAGACCTGTTCTGTGCGTACGAAATTTATACAAAGATTTTTCATATATTTAGGAACTTATGTTTATAATAAAATTAACAAAAAAATATCAATTTATTCTCTAAATAGTAGTGAATGTAAGAGAAAAATTACCTCCTGGTTACTTAGCCTTGACTATGAAAACACTGAAGCGTTATTGGAAATAATACAATAGAAAAACTTTTAACAACTCGAAATAAATTTAATTAATTAGTCCTCTTATGCCTCCTCCGTTTAAATACACATTATGTTCGTTCACATTAACATACCTACACACGCTCGTACACACACACACACTCACAACACACACACACAACACACACACACACTCACAACACACACACACATTTCCCACTATTGCACAACACTAGTATCTTTCTTATTTTTGTATTGTATACATTTTTAAATCCAATTGTGTTTAATCTAAGCATTATTTCTTTTTTTTTGTAAACTTTGTACAATTTATCAACTGTATAGATCACCAACTCTAATCGGCTAAGATTATATTATCCTTGGGTGGAGGCGCTGTATGCCGAGATACAGGTTAAACCCTACTTCAGCTGCAGATGCCAACATAAAATTATATTATGCATATTTTTTGTAGCCATTTTTTTGATAAGATGTACAAGATTGTATAATATTCTGTATAACATTGTTTTGGAAACTAATAAATTATT